GAGAACATCCACTCTCTTCTAGACTAGGTCACCCACTTATAACCTTCAGATCTTAACTTTCTTGTCATGTGCAGCTCGTATGCTCTGCTTGTAGACCTCGATCCAAGTTGAAGCCTACTCCCTCAGCTCATCAATTGTGTCCAAGGCTGCATAAGTTAATTCCTCGTTATGTTGCGGGTTGTATGTACTCGACCTCTGGGAAATCAACTCCACTTTGACCGACAGTAATGCTTCCATTCCATGAACTAGACTGAAAGGGGTTTCTCCTGTTATCGACCTCAGGGTGGTTCTATATGTCCAAAGTACTGATGTAAGCTCGTCGACCCATGCCCCCGAAGCCCTTTCGGCTTTGTCTTTAATCCTTTCACTATAATCCTGTTAGTGACTTCGACTTGTGCGTTGGCCTGTGGATGATCTACAGAAGGAAAATGTTGCTTGATTTTTATATCATCGTACCAACATCGAATTCGCTTGTCATTAAATTGAGTTCCATTGTCTGACACCAACACCTTCGATACACCAAACCTGCAAAAAATTTAGTTATATTTTAATTATATAAAAAATTGTATGACTTTGTCTTCTATGTTCTTGGCCAAAGGTTCGGCCTTTACCCACTTTATGAAATAATCGACCGCGACAACCATAAATTTTCTTAAACTAGTTCCCTGCGGCATTGGCCCCACCAAGTCGGTGCCCCACTGCGCGAAGGGAATAGGGGTGCTCATGGTGGTCATTGTCTTCGCCGATTGATGAATGAGCGGACCGTGCTTTTTGCATTGTATGCAAATTTTCACCATCAAGATTTCGTCCACCTTCATTGTCTGCGAAAATTTGCGGCCAAAGCCCTAGCCTTGTTATGGTCACTGAAGCAGCCTTCGTGCACTTCCCTCAACACATATATGCCTTCCTCCTTGGTCACACATCTCAAGTGTGGCCCAGCGTATGACCTCTTATAGAGGACCCCTCCTTTCTTGAAAAATCTTTTAATAGCCGTCAGACTTCCTTCCTTCAACTCCCTTAAGATGGGCGCCTACCAATCCTCGACCTCCTCAATTTCTGCGACCTCACCTTCCACTATGCTCTTCTCCATATGTAATAAATTTACGTTACTGCTCGTCCCATTCTCCCCCTCCCCCCCTAGTATCTGAATTTTCTCAAACAAGTTGAATTCTCCCTCTAACTACCTCAAATCATCCACGTACATTTGCATTCTTTCTTCCTTCACTTCAAAGCCTTTTTGAAATTGTCTTACGATCAATGGGGAATCGGAGTGTACTTGGATTTCTCGAGCTCTACTTGCCACAGCCAACTCCAAACCCTTGATCACCGCCTCATACCTTGCCTCATTGTTAGACACTTGAAATCTTAACTTGGTTGCAAACTCAAGACTATCTCCCTTTGGTGAAATCAACACAATCTCCAAACTAGCTCCTCCTTTCCACATCGAGCCGTCCACATACAACTACCATCTCCCCTCCAAAGTCCTCCACAGCATCAACCCTCTCAAAGCCCCAAGACCTGATGGTATGACTTTTACCTTTTTTCATTCCTTCTGGTCCTTGATTAAGCAGGACCTTTGCAATACAGTTCTTAGTTTCTTTGACTTGGGGATTATTCTTAAAAGTTTTAACCACTCTTTAATCACCCTTATACCAAAATGTCCCAAACCCTACTTGGCTTCTCATTACAGACCCATTAGTTTGTGCAATGTTTTGTACAAAGTGATTTTTAACGCATCTGATTATTTTTGAGTTTTCTGCAGGTAATATGAAAGGGATTAAGCTTAGTAAGCACTGCCCTACCCTCACCCACCTCTTTTTTGCTGATGATACATTGCTATTTTTTAAAGCTGGCCCTCATCAAGCATTTACCCTTCTTCACATCCGCCAAAATATCAATCCATTTCAGGCCAAAAGTAAACTTAGCAAAATCCTCCATTTTCATTAGTAAGAACACATCACATTGCAAAGGTTTCATTGGAAATAGTGGAAGCACATCACATTGCCAAAAGAGATGGGAGGGCTAGGATTTCATGATCTCCATACCTTCAACAAAGCATTAATCTTCAAGCAGCTTTGGAGGATTATGACCCAACCATACCTCTTAGTCAGCAGGATTCTTAAAGGGAAATACTTCCACGATGGACCCTTACTCTCAGCAAAACTTAAGTAAAATAGCTCTTGACAATGGGCTACCTGGTGGAAACAATTGGAAAGCTTCAAACAAGGACTATTGTATCAGATAAGAGATGGCAAAGCATTGAAGATTTGAGAGATTCCATGGATTCCAAACCTGCCAGGTTTCAAACCAATGGGGAAACACCCAAGGAATACTGATCTAATCTGGGTCAGGGACCTTATGCATGCTACAGGTTGGAGATGGAATAAATGTTTAATTGAAGAGTGGTTTACCGCTGAGGAAGCAACTGCAATTATGGCAATATCAGGATTGGATCCACACAGCAAGGAAAATTTTATTTTGGCCCTGGAATAGCACTGGTAAACACTTTGTTGCCTCCACTTACTCTAAACTGATTGAGTATAGCTGGAGGAAGATGGACACTTCAAGAACTAGCCTCCACCAGACCGAGTTGAAGAGAGTCAGGAGATTAACTTGGAGATTAAATATCCAAGGAAAACTCAAGCATTTTATCTGGAGAGGGTTAAATAACATTCTTCCTGTCCTAGTGAACCTAAATGCAAAAGGCTTGAAGTTGAATCAGGTGTGCAAGTTCTGTGGGGAATAAGAGGAATCTTATGAGCATATTTTCTTTCATTTCTCAAGAGCCCTGTTGATTTGGAAACTATCATCAGTCTCTTGGGATGGACTAAGAGCAGATACAGTCAGTTTCAAAACTTGGTGGTGCTCCCTGTGCACAGTGCCTATCAAACCTACAGTAGAAGACATAATCCACTTTTCAAGCTACTTACTTTGGTAGATATGGAAGACTCGGAACCTATGGGTATTTCAGCGAACCTATAGGTCTGAGACAGACACAGTGAGGTTGGCTTTGGAAAATTGGCAGCTTCACTCAGTCTGCCTTTAAAGCCTTTGTCTTTAGTGCTTTTTACGTGTTTGTTCATAGATTGATTTTCCTGTTTTCCTAGGGTGTGATTTGTTGAGGTTTTTTGTAGGTTTTTTGTTAACTTGCTAGGTCCCTTGGGGGTACAGTGGCAAGTTTATTTTGTTGGCATTTCTATGCTGTTTCGGGAGTAAGATGTCAACTTCCGGGTTCATAGCCTTTGCCTATGCCAGAAGTATGCTCTTTCTCTTTTTGGTTAAGGTTGTGTTTAGTCTTCTTGGTTTCTTTGTGGACTGTAATGGGCTTGTTTGCCGTNAAAAAAAAAAAAAAAGAAGAGAGAGAGAGAGAGAGAGAGAGAATTAATGTTGGAGATCCACGTATTATATGACATTTTCTTGAATCACCTTTGGCAAAAAGTAAACCAGGCGAATGCGTAATTGCCAGCATCTTAAAATGTTGAGATATATCAAATTTAAAAGAATACAGGCATTTCTATTTAAAAGAATACAGGCATTTCTAGGTCTTTATGTTTCTTCTTTTGGTGAAATTTATTCCCTGAAAAAATAAAGTTGTGCCCTAATTTTCCCCATTATATTATACTAGTTTTTGTCCCGTGCATTTGCACGGAAAACTATATGATACATGAAAAAATAATAAAAATTATAAATAATAGTAAAAATCATAACAAAATCATTGATAAAAATTAAGAAAAAAAATATAAATATTCTTAAACACTTCTTTATAAAACAACGTCGTGGTTTTTCTATCGTAAAAAATCTCCCTCAGCTTAAATCAAAATCTTCAAACCCCACTGACTCGTAACTCTAAAAAGCGCCACGTATAATTGCTCATGACTAAATGCAGAGCTCTTCAGTAGTAAGCCGACGTGCGACAAAGACTGTCTTTGACTCTTATTGATCATGTCATAGCATAGGAAACACTTCTTTGTATTGTTTGTCCTTGACTCTTATTGATTGATAGAGATTGTCCTTGTTTCTTAATAAAAAAATACCATCTAAATATAAATAAGTAAATATAATATTAATTTTTTATATAAACAAAAATTTTTAAGTAATTGATAATGAGAATAGAATTACCCTTGCGGATTCAAGTTATTTCAACGATGTTCTTTTTATATATCTAAGATTTAATTTTTTTTTCTGATTTATATGAATATAAGCACATTTAACTAATTTTTATAAAATTTATTGAAAAAAGTTACTATTTTTTTTAAAAACTGATAAGATATTAAGATAATATTGTACTTAATATAAATGTGGGATTAATTAAAATAATTTTTTTTTAATTTAATCATTAACTAATTAAATTTAACTATAAGAAACCTTCTTAAATGTGAGATTAATGAGTAATTAATTAAAAAAATGTAACTCCTTTTGGAGGGAAAGTGAAAATATTTTTATTAAATGTTTTATTAAATGAGATTAGCTAGCAATTATATATATATAGATTGCCATAAATGGTTGAACTCTATAATTTACTAACAGGGAAAAGAAGACTTGTGAGTCGTGACTTCATATATACCTCGATGGCTCAATTATAAAAAAAACAAATAACATAAGAGAGAATAAAGAGGAAATGAAGCTAAATTCTCACATTCGACCAATTCCTTAAAGCTCAATTATGATGAACAGAAAAAATTAAAATGTATATATAGAGAGAGAGAGGGTTGGATGATAGATTGAACAGCAGTTGAACTTTTATGAGGTTTCTTAAACACTGTACAGTTAGATTCATTGAATAAGAAAAGAGGGTTCAGAATGAAACACGGAGCAAGGTTTGGGGACTGGAAACTTAGTAATTTTTTTTAAGAGCCCTCAAACGTAAAATAGAAAAGGGCTCCTCAGCTAAATAATGACCGCATTCCTCGATCAACCACACAAAACAAGGCTACACGTTGGAAAACGAAAAAACAAAAAATAAAATAAAATCACAACACACAAAATTAACAAAAATGCTCTCAGTAATTCCCCAACAGCGTCTCGAAGCAACTGGCGATCCCTCCGTCGTCCGGCGGGTCCAACCACCCCTCCACCGCCGCCGTATTATCAAAGCATACGAAATCGTTCCTAAACTCCAGCGAGTCAAAACAGGGTCCCAGACTCGGCAATTCCACGATCTCGCTCAGCTCCTCCGATGCTGACGTCATCGATGACGACGAGGACAGCGACGCGCTCGACGGCCGTGAGGTGGGGCCAGCGGATCCCAACCCCTCCATCGCCGCCGCCTTGGCGGCCGCCGCCTGAACGTCGCGGGGGCAGAGGGAGGCCGGGCGGGGCAGGGCCGACGCAATCTCCGGGAAATTGAGGGTCGCGGACGCGCCCTTGATGCTGAGGGCGGCGACGTCGTGTGCACGCGCCGCCATCTCGGGCGTCGGGAATGTCCCCAGCCAGATTCGCGACTTCTTGCGAGGCTCCCGGATTTCGGAGACCCATTTGCCCCAACTCCGCATCCGGACGCCCCGGTACACTGGGTGCTTCGTGGAGGAGTTGTGGCCGGAACCCCGGCTCCTCTTCATCTTCTTCGCCGTCTCCGGCGGCGGTTCCTCCGCGGAAGATGAGAACAGTAATGGGTTGTTATTTAGCTGATTTTGGGGATTTTCGGAATTCATGGTTGGGTCGAAATTGGCTTATTCGGCCCAAAAACTGTTAAAATTGTGCGGGTGTTTTTGGGGTGTGATTTTGATTTAGTGCATGTGGGATTTTTATATGATTTCCATACATGGAAAATTTACCAATTTTTTGGCTGTGACGCTTGCACGTACAAGATGTTGAAAAGCTTTTATCAGGAAATGGAAAGAATATTTAGTGTTATATATACACACACAATGATAGATATATATATTTTTTTGTTTTTATTTGGCTTTATTTTTTATTTAATATATTATTAACGACACTTGTATTTACAGAAGAGATAATAAATAATGGTATAAATGGACCCATGGCCGTGGAGGGATCGGGTACAATTCTGCTACACAGTAATAAAATTGGGTCGGTCCCCCTTTACAATACACCACGCAATCTCTCATTTCAGTTTTTTCGTAACTTTTCTGGGTTTCACCTATGTTGGACTCCTCAACACTGTATATTTATCCCCTTATCATACTTCATATTAAATTGATGAAATTCATGTTATAAGTTGAAAAAAAATATATCTTCTACGTGGTGGGATGTCAGTTTATTGTGTCATCCGAGGGAAACTTAAACAATTCTGATTCATAGTGTTACTTAATTATTAATTTCCTAATTCCATTCCATACATTTGTATAATACAAATATATTAAAGTTTAAAACACACGATTGCAAATTAATCAATGTGAATATTCATGATTAATTTGTTTGTCGAAGTTGAATTCGAGACAAAGTAACTACTTTAATTAGGGGTGAAAAGGAGGTGACACTTGAGGTAGCAGATCAGATTTAACTTTATAAGCTATTGTATTTCATGTTTAGCTGGTACAAAATGACCCTCGACCGGCTCGGTTCAACATGATTTATCTCCCTCGCTGATGGATGATATTCGTGACCTGCAAAAACTCAATACCGGAGTGGGTTTTTCGGCGAAGAGCCTTAAATGTTTAAGTTAGAGAGAGCTATTGAAAACGATGAACAGTACTATATGTAAGTGCATAGTGAGAGCAATGTTCTAAAGGGCATACCTCATTCCCTTTTATAAGGAGATGCTATCTTGTTGCCCAAAACTGACCGAGTGAGCTGCCCGGATTGCCCGTACAGCCAGTCTGTACTGCCCAAACTGCTCAATTCTATTAGGCCACGTGGCTCTATCCACGTGTGGTCCTTATCCTATTAATATTCTTTCTTATCCATTAGTCTGACTTATAATTATACTGCCTAATCGTGCGATTGGCCCAGATCACGTCGAGGCAGAATGTTGCGTATGTCGAGCTTACGTGCCATGTCCTCTAGGTCGATCACACGACCAACCATGTCTTCAGATCGACTTTTCACTAGTCCATCTGAGGGTCCTAACTCGACCTGCAGTGTTTCTTTAAACCTCTAATGTCCTCCTCGATCTGAAGACTCCTTGTTCTTGTAATGATGTTCGACCTCTGTTCGGCCTACCTGTCCTCTTGTTCGACCATCCTATTCGCCCAGTCCAGTCAGACGGATTACCAGGTTTGTTCTACTTGGTGTGGTATCCCATAACACTAGCTAAATTCTATACATCCGACGTAAAATCCCTCTATAATTTCCACACATGTTATGCATCTAATACTTATGCTTTTTTATTTTATTTTATTTTATTTTCCAAACATCAAATTTCATTACTAAGGAGATGCTTTGATATAAGAGTTTTTTATTTTGTTTGGTTAATTTTAAAAAAGTTTGTATGATTAGTGGATAATGGGATTTCGAGTTTATATTAAAATAATATTTCAAATAAAATAATTAAAGTTGATTTTATGTAAAAGTAAAAGAGAGATGATGTGAAGTAATGGTTAGCTAAAATTATGTGAGTTGATGAATAGTGTATTAAAGTATTAAAGTTGATGTACATGTAAGAATGATTTGTTGGTATTATTTATTTATATTCATAATATTGAGGATAGTGGGTGATATGTCAAATTGTCCCGAATCGCTCGACCGCTCCTCTCGAACCGGATTGAGTCTTCTTGATCACCGGCACCTGCAAAAGACGCCGGGGGTGGTCCCGACGCGAACTCTATGACGCTCAAGTCATTATCGGATTTTAAGAGGAACTGGTAGAATAACGAGACAAGTATGTATTTTATATGTCTCCTCCCTTAAAGTAAAGAAACTTGTTCTCTTTATATAGACGTCAGTGGTTGGGTCTCACAAGACTCCTTATGTAATCATGAGTCCCTTCCACCTCTGTCTCTCATCCGACACTATCTTGTCCAGGATCTTAGAACCCCTAGAATCCTCCATGCTTCCAATTCTCCAAAACGTGAGGAATCAAACTCCTCCTTTCATAAAGGATCGCCACGTCATCCACCGCGCTCAAGCGTAGCATCATCGGTCATCATGTCGAGCTCATCTTCTCTGCTCGGCCCAATTAGCAGGTAAGTTTTAGTTCCCCCCTAGCATCTTGTCCTTCCGATCTCGTGACCCCAAAACAATGAGTGGATCAGCCGAACTCATTCCTCCAATTCGATCATACCGAGCCGC